AAAAAAAAAAAAAAAAACCAAGACAAGACAAGCTAAGGCCAGGCATTTATAATTAATAATAAGACTCCATGGGTGATTTATTTGGGAGCTTAGTGGCGGTCCCCCCTCCCTCCCAAAAGAGCAAAGAGTAAAGAGAAAAAACAACCAACAACAAAACCTGGCTTGTAAAGATCCAAATTTAAATTACATTCTTAATGTTCTGCTGAGAAGAATGACTTGATTTCTCAGGAAAGCACTTTAAATGTGTAAGCCAATATGAAATACCTAGCATCATTAAAGACATTTGCATTTCCATGGATGATATTGTCAAGGTGCTCTTGAAATCACAGACTGGGTGACATCCTGTGTTTTTCAGCAGCTGTCCTGGAGTCTTCACCAGCCGACCGAGCAGGGGACTCCACAGAACTGTCACCTTGCAGATCCCCCTCAACTCCCCGGCACCTCCGATATCGCCAGCCTGGAGGTAAGAGCTCAGAGATTCAGAAATACATCTTGGGCTTTTAGGTCGGCATATTGCTTGGTCTTAGTTATACAGACTGACTAGAAGCAGGTAATGTTGCATAGGTCCAAGGAGGGGAAATTTCAATGATTAGGAAGCCTATTTTCAGTCTGGCTAATGAAGTTTAGCCCATCATTGTGACGTGTACATTGTGACGTGTTTATGCAGAAAATAGGATGAAATGTATGTCCTAGAGATGGCTAGTTGTGGGATCAGCTTCTTGACCCCGAGTCCCAGTGTGAGCTGAATGAGCAAGCTTGGGAAAACCTTATTAGAAATTCTTATTTCATATAAATTAAGGCTCAGTTGACTGGGACCCCAACATTATTAGTGGTAGAACCTGATATATTTTTTTCAGTATACAGTTATAAAAATTATGACATATGATTCCATAGTTTGTTGAAAACACAACAAATATCAGCTAATTGGAAGAGAAACTGCTCAAAAAGCAGAAATACTTTATCTACTTACTGTTCAAATAAATATATTGAAATCAGGGTCACTTTGAAATGTCTCCTTCTCCTTACCCCTTCCAAAGCTGATTATTTCAAGCCAGAATAGAAAATTATGGAACCAGATTCACTCCAAGTAAACCAAACAATACAGAGGTCTGTCACTCCTCCATATGGGTCCTTGGGGATTGAACTCAGGTTAACAGGCTCAGTAGCAAGCAGCTTTGAGAAAGTGTGTGTGTGTGTGTGTGTGTGTGTGTGTGTGTGTGTGTGTGTGTATGTGTGTGGTGTGTGTATGGTGTGTGTGTATGATGTGTATGTATGTGTATATGGTGTGTATGTGATGTGTGTGTATGGTATGTGTATGATGTGTGTGTGTATGATGTGTATGTATAGGGTGGTGTGTGTGTGTATGATATATGTGTATATGGTGTGGTGTGTGTGTATGTGTGTGTATATGATGTGTGTGTATATGGTGTGTGTGTGTGTGTGTGTATGGTGTATGTGTGTGTGTATGATGTGTGTGTATATGGTGTGGTGTGTGTGTATATGAGGTGTGTGTATATGGTATGTTGTGTGTGTATGAGTGTATGGTGTGTGTATGTGTATGGTGTATGTGTGTGTGTGTATATGATGTGTGTGTATATGGTGTGGTGTGTGTGTATGTGTGTATATGATGTGTGTGTATATGGTGTGGTGTGTGTGTGTGTATGGTGTATGTGTGTGTATGTATGATGTATGTGTATATGGTGGTGTGTGTGTGTGTGATGTATGTGTATATGGTAGTGTGTGTGTGTGTGTGTGTGTGTGTGATGTATGTGTATATGGTGGTGTGTGTGTGTGTGTGTGTGTGTGTGTGTGTATGGTATGTGTGTGGTGTGTGGCCTCTCCCTGAGCCTGAAGCTCACAATTTGCTAGATTGGGTGGCCGTGTGGTTCTGAGACTGTCTATCCTCACCTCCCAGTGCTGGGATTACAGGTGTGTCTGCCAGGCTGACTTCTGTGAGTGGTGCAGGAGATCTTAACTGGTTCTTCATGTTTATGCAGTGAGCACTTGGCCCACTGAGATAGCCCCAGCCCTTCATCCTTTCAGTTTTAAATGGCTACACTCAGTTCCTCCTTCCTGTAGGATGGGGCTAAACCAAAGGCCTCACACACGCTTAACAAGCATTCAGCTGCTAACTGATAAAGAAATTGTACTGAAAGCATGACGTAGAGTCTTCTTAAAATAGTTGTATGTTGAAATATAATTCGTACACCACGAAATTTTTCCTTCTTTTTAAAGTATGTAATTCATTGGATTTTACACACTCAAAAGGCCAGGCAGCCATACCCATGGTTTAATTTTAGAACATTTTTAATACCCTAGAAGAAATCCTATAGTCATAAACATACTCTCCCATTTCTACCTCCCCCTGGTAGCCACCATCTATGATCGCTATGCTTTGATTCACCCATTACAGACATTTACAAAAGGGAATCATTCAGTGGGGGACCTTTATAATTGGCCTGTTCACTGAGCATAGTGCTTTTTGGACTCATCCATTTTATAGTATGCGTCAAACTTCATTCCTTTCTATTATGGAATAATATTATCTTTTTAAAATCTAATTTTTTTCAGCTTATGGATGTTTGATTGTTTCTAGGTTTGGGATACAGTGAAGCTGCTTCTGTGAATGTTCATTTGCAAATTTTTGCATGGACATATGCTTTTGTTGTCTGCCTCGAATGGAATTGCTGATGTATATATATAATCTCATTATTTGCCTATTAACAGGGATTTCATGGGGCCTTTGGCCCAGTCCTTCTTCCAGGACAGGTATTAAAATAAGAATAGTCACTACAGAATATTATCTGTGGGCCTCACCATTCCGTTGCCTTTGTCTTTAAATCACCAGGACAGGCAGCTGACAGTAGCCACTGCTCTGTGTCACCTGCTTCTGCCTTCGCAATCGCCACGGCTGCAGCAGGACACGGGAGTCCACCAGGTGAGTCCACTGGCTGAAGCATGCGGCAGAGTACACTGATCCAGTGGCCCTGACTGCCAGGGCCTTGGTGACTGTGAGTTGGAAATCCTGTCTTTTGCAATACTGGGGAATGAACCTAGAGGACATTATATTAAATACAATAAGCCAGGTATGAAAAGATAAACACTGCACGATGCCAAATACGTTTGGAATCTAAAACAGTTGAACTCATGGAGTCAGAAGACAGAGTGGAGGGCACTGGGGGCAAAGGTCAAGCATGAGGAGAATAAGGAGACACCAGTTACAAAGTTCAGCTACATAGGAAGACAAGTTCTGGGAACTACTGTGCAGTCTGGTGACAATAATAATAACTATTATTATTAATAATAATAAATTAATACTTGACAATCTTGAGAGCATATTTTAAATGTTGTTATCTTAAAAAGTGAATGACATATAATAATTAGCTTGGTTTAATCACTCCATTATATGCATACATACATACATACACACACACATACACAGACACGCACATTTATATGCATCACACCATGCCTAAAGACATCAATAAAAATAAGTAGCCAAACAACCACCATCAGAGGTGAGTCTCACCTGGGTGATCTTTGGGTCAAGCTTCTGGAAAATTCTATGTCTGAGAAGGCTGTGTTACTCCCCCAGGGTTGTTTCATGTCTGTCAGCTTTTGTGCCTCATGGCTAAGACATGTTTCCTCTTCCCCGAGTCTGAAGCATGTGCTAGACGTAGGGAGGCTTGAAGAGTGGGGATCCTCCAGCTGCCCGTATTTGCTATGATTCCTGCTGAATAACTACCAGGCAGTCTTCAGGGCAAAGAAAATACAATAAACATAAAAATAAACCCATAGTGCTTTCATAGGTGAAAATTATGTTTGTTCTCTATGTCCTCACAGGCAGAGGACAAGATGTTAAATAAATCTGTAATTGATTGAAGTAGGCCCATTGTTGGGTCTTGGTGTAATTTTTTGTCATATTTTTTCAGTATTTTTTATTCTTCTCTCATATGTTACATCCAGACCAGAGTTCCCCCTCCCTCCACTCCCCCGTCTCTCCTTCCTACCTCTCCACTCTCCCTCTCCCCCAGATCCACCACCTCTTGCCTCCCTCTCAGAGATGGCATAAGAGGCTATAATAAGACCAGGTACATACGATCACATCAAGGTTGGACAAGGCAGCCCTGTAGGAGGAGAAGGATCCCACAAGCCAGTCAGAGACAGCCCTACCCCCACTGTTAAGAATCGCACAAGCACACCAAGCTAATCAGTCATATTGTACATGCAGGGGACCTAGGTCAGACCCCTACAGGCTCCCTGATTTCTGTGAGCCCCATGAGTCCTGGTCAATTGCTTCTGTGGGCCATGACCTCATGGTGTCCCTGATCCCTCTAGTTTCTCTGATTCTTCCTCCCCCTCTTGCATAGGACTTCCCGATTTCTGCCAAATGTTTGGCTAAGGGATTCTGCATTTGCTCCCGTTAGTTGCTGGATGAAGTCTCTCATGGTCTCTTTCATAAGGACTCTGCTAGGCTCTGGTCCCAGAACACTCTTCAGGCAGGACAAACTGTAGGTTGAAGGTTTTGTGGCTGGACTGGTGTCCCAATCCCTCCATTTGAGGCCTGGCCTGATTACAGAAGATGGCCAGTTCAGTTCCAAGTCCCCCATCACTAGGAGTCTTTGCTAGAGTTATTCTCATAAATTCCATGGAGTTTTCATTGCACTCCCAAATGCCCCCCAATTCTAGTCATTTTTCCCAGTATTTTCTCCCTCCTTTCCCCGACCTGATCCCTCCTGTTCCTATTCCTGCCCATTTCAGTCCACCTGAGAAATCTTTTCTGTCTCCCCTTCCCAGGGAGATCTTTGCACCCCCCCCCCTTAAGACCTCCTTGTTACTTGTCCTATGTGGGTCCTTGGGTCTTAGCATGATTTGATTTAGATTTAGATCTGCACCCCATTTTTAAATTGGATTATTTAGTTTGCTGGTGTCTAGTTTCTTGAGTTCTTTACATATTTTGAATAACATCCCTCTGTCAGATGTGGAGTTGGTGAAAATCTGTGTGCAGCCATTTTGTTCTATTGATGGTGTCCTTTGCCTTATAGAAGCTCTTCAGTTTCATGAGGTCCCATTTGTTGTCAATTAGTGTCTGCACTTTTGGTGTTCAGTTCAGGAAATTGTCTCCTATGCCAATGCATTCAAGACTATTCCCCACTTTCTCTTCTATCAGGTTCAGTGTATCTGGATTTATATTGAGGTCTTTGATCTACTTGGACTTGAGTTTTGTGCAGGGTGATATATAAGGATTTATTTGCAATCTTCTACATGTTGACATCCAGTTATGTCAGCACCATTTGTTGAAGATATTTTCTTTTTTCCATTTATATTTCTGGCTTCTTTATCAAAAATCAGGTGTTCATAGGTGTGTGGATTTATTTCTTGGTCTTTGATTTGATTCTATTTATCCACATGTCTGTTTTTATGCCAATATCAAGCTGGTTTTATTACTACAGCTCTGTGGTACAGCTTGGAATCAAGGATGGTGGCACCTCTGGAAGTTTTTGTATTGTTTAAGATTGTTTTAGCTATCCTGGGTTTTTTTTTTGTTTGTTTGTTTGTTTTTCTATATGAAGTTGAGTATTGTTCTTTCAAAGTCTGTAAAGAACTGTATTGGAATTTTGATGGGGATTCCATTGAATCTGTAGAATGCTTTTGGTAGGATGACCATTTTTACTATGTTAATCCTACTTATACATGAGCATGGGAGATCTTTCCATCTTCTGATATCTTTTTTAATTTCTTTCTTCAAAGACTTGAAGTTTTTATCTTGCAGGTCTTTCATTCACTTGGTTATGGTTACCCCAAAATATTTTATATTCTTTGTGGCTATTGTGAAGGGTGATATATCTCTGATTTCCTTCTTAGCCTGTTTGTCATTTGTATATAGGAGGGCTGCTGATTTTTTAAAGCTAATCTTGTATCCAGACACTTTGTTGAAGGTGTTTGTTAGCTATAGGAGTTCCTTGGTAGAAGTTTTGGGGTCACTTATGTATACTATCATATCATCTGCAAATAGTGAAAGTTTGACTTCTTCCTTTCCAATTTACATCCCCTTTAGTTGTCTTATTGTTCTAGCTAGAACTTCAAGTATTATGTTGAATAGATATGGTGAGAATGGATAGTTTTGTCTTGTTCCTGATTTTAGTGGAATTGCTTTGAATTTCTCTCCATTTAATTTGATGTTGGCTATAGGCTTGCTGTAAATTGCCTTTATTGTGTTTAGGTATGCCCCTTGTATCCCTGATCTCTCTAAGACTTTTATCATGAAGGGTTGTTGGATTATGTCAAAGGCTTTTCAGCATTTAATGAGATGAACATGTGGGTTTTTTTCCCCCAGTTTGTTCAATAGATTTTTATATGTTGAACCATCCCTGCACTCCGGGATGAAACCCATGGTGGATGATCTTTTTGATGTGTTCTTGGATTTGGTTTGTGAGTATTTTTGCATCAATGTTTGTGAGGGAAATTGGTCTGTAATTCTTCTTTGTTAAATCTTTGTCTGGTTTGGATATCAGGGTGACTGTGGACCCATAAAATGAATTTGTCAATGTTCCTTCTGTTTCTATTTTTGTGAATAATTTAGAAGTATTGGCATTAACTTTACTTTGAAAGTCTGGTGGAATTCTATGCTAAAACCATCTATCCCTGAGCTTTTTTAGGTTGAGAGGTTTTAATGACTTCTATTATTTTCTTGGGAGTTATAGGTCTATTTAAATTGTTTATCTGATTTGATTAAATTTGGTAAGTGATATCCATTGAGAAAACTGTCCATTTCTTTTAGGTTTTCCAATTTTGTGGAGTACAGGTTTTTGAAGTCTGACCTAATGATTTTCTGGATTTCCTTGTTGTCTGTTGTTATGTCTCCCTTTTCATTTCTGATTTTGTTATTTTGGATTCTCTCTCTCTCTCTCTCTCTCTCTCTCTCTCTCTCTCTCTCTCTCTCTGCATTTTGGTTAGTTTGGATAAGGGCTTGTCTATCTTGTTGATTTTCTCAAAGAACCAACTCTTTGTTTCATTGATTCTTTGTATTGTTCTCTTTGTTTTATTGATTTCAGTCCTCCGTTTGATTATTTCCTTCCATCTACTCCTCTTGGGTGTGCTTACTTCTTTCTATTCTAGAGCTTTCAGGTATGCTGTTAAGTTGCTAGTATTATATCTCTCCAATTTCTTTATGAAGGCACTTAGTGCTATGAACTTTCCTGTTAGCACCTCTTTCATTGTGTCCAATGTATTTGAGTATGTTGAACATTCATTTTCATTGAATTCTAGGAAATCTTAAATTTCTTTATTTCTGCCCAGTAGTTGTTCAGTAGGGAGTTGTTTAATTGCCATGATTTTGTAGGTTTTCTCTTGTTTCTGTTGTTGATATCCAGCTTTAATCCATGGTGGTCTGACAGAATACACGGGGTTGTTTCAATTTTCTTGTATCTGTTGAGACTTGCTTTATGACTGAGTAGGTGCTCAATTTTGGAAAATGTCCTCTGAGGTGCTGAGAAAATGGTATATTCTTTTGTGTTCTGGTGAAATGTTCTGTAGATATTTGTTAGGTCCATTTGATTCATAATGTCTGTTAGCCCCACTATTTCTTTCATTATTTTTTGTCTAGATGACCGGTCTATTGGTGACAGGAGGTATTGAAGTCTTCCACTATTAATGTGTGATATTTGATGTGTCATTAAAGATTTAGTAATGTTTCTTTTACAAATGTGGGTGCCCTTGCATTTGGGGCATAGATGTTCAGAACTGAGAGGTCATCTTGGTGGATTTTTTTCCTTTGATGCATATGAAATGTCTTTCTCCATCTCTTTCGATTAATTTTGGTTGGAAGTCTATTTTGTTAGATATTAGAATAGCTACACTATCTTGTTTCTTGCATCCATTTGCTTAGAAAATCTTTTTCCAATCCTTTACTCTGAGGAAGTATCTATCTTGATGTTG